CCTCTAGCAATTCCATGGCGTTGCCCTGTCAATCCCTTGCACGTTCATCTGCCAATGCTTTGCGTCTTCTGACTGCTGCACTGTAATAATGTTTTTTAATTTAAAATATTTCAAAAAAATTGATTTTCTTGAAAAAAAAACAATAATAAATCGTCGATATTCCGAAACCTTTCAGCAGCTGGTTTCAAATATTTATAGATGATCTTTATTTAATTTCATTTTTTAGGGAACAAAGGAAATCACAGAACTCAACGAATTAGGGCAGTTAAAAAGTCTACTGTCAGACTTTGAGGTAAGGTCGGTTAGGTGTTTTTGAGGTGTTTTTTAGGCGTACCTTGTACATTTCCGTCTGAAGAGGCTCTAGGAGGACGCCTCCAGCCTACTTTATCCCGAAGTCCCATTAGGTATATCCTCAAAACCTCTTTACACGAATTCAAATTTCAGTTTCTGGGTGATCACTATCTCATTGTCGTATCTATCACGGATACATACATGTGAGTTTGATGCCACAAGCCGATTTTAAAAAAATCATAAGTCCTTTTCTACTCCATTTAATTCTCTTTTGTGGTTCACTGAAGATTATAGGGGCACCATTGTCGAAACATACCAGTACGAAAATTCTTTGCAAGTTTCATGTCAGCTTGTTTAACAAAACAACAGATATGATGATGTTATCCACAATCTACAACAACAAATCAACAAATCGAATGAACAAGCAAACGAAGAAAAAAAAAATACAAACATTCTGTGCAGAACTTGATTTTTATTTTTTAGGGTGTATTTCAGGTTCTTTTTTTTCCTATCTTTCTTGCAGAAGTTGAACGGTTCTGTGTGTGAGACGTGTGGAGGTTACGAGTACGTCAACTGCACTTCATGTAAAGGTAGCAAAACCTCAAGAAAGACGCGAATCTCGCGGGAAATTAGCGTATTGAAGTGTACAGTGTGTAACGAAAATGGACTCCAACGATGCCCTACTTGCACTGGGAATTCAGAGCAGGATTTACAGAAGCCCGAGTGAACGCGAGCAATTACTGAATCTACTCATAAGCCTGGCATTGTAGGACTTTGTACAGAAATGAATTGATATGAAGGAAGAAATGTTTATCATAAACATTAATGCTTTAGAGTGGTATTCATAAACCCGTGAATTACACATAAGCCTAATACAAATTAGTTGACTATTATTCCATTGCTTTGTTGTCATTTCACTATTACCCATTAACTAAGTAATGGTATTTGTTTCACGGGCTTATGAAAATTACTCTAGTACTTAATAGATTATTTTCTTCTATATTTGGCTGTATATATATTTATATTTTACACATATTTAATAACTGTTGTATGGATCTTACGATTAGCGCAAGAATGCTATGTTAAGTATTTATCTATGATCTAAACCAAAAGATAAACTATAGTATATGCTTCGCCCTTCTTGTACTAACGCGTGGCTTTGCAAACGACCTAAGAATGCATTTGTAGTTTCGTATCTTGCTGCATTGTCTCATGTTGTTAGAGGCAATTGAAGTTTGTACTTCTGAGCACAATATTTGATGCGTATACGGAAGTGTGCGCGTATTTGCGTGCGAAAACGTTTGCGGTAAAGTGTAATATATTAGCCCAGATTTTTTCTATCAGTTTCAGTTTATATAATGAATAAAGACACTTCAAGACAGGTAATAAACTATTAAACTTTATTTCAAGATAATTTTTTTTATTTTTGAAAATCGTCTACTCATTAACAACTATCTCCGTGCCACAGGGATCCCAAACCCAAGAAATCTTACACTAGTAATTCTTAGGGTGGTAAGCCTGTGGTATGAGAGATTCTAAATAGAGTTCACTTATCGTATATGTAAAGGGAGGGAAGGAAAACCTAGAGTTACACACTTCGAGCTAACCATTTTTCGAGTTGCGCGCTCCGACACACCCGGCATATTTTAAAGGCCACACCCACTGACATCTGTGCGTAACTCGATGACTAACAACTAGTGAGCAACAACAACAACGATTAGCAAGACACATGTGTCAAGCTAGAAGCTTTGAGACTGTAATAAAGTTTGTTATTATTATTATTACAAACAAACAATCGATAGATTTTTACTCGCATTTTTGAATCCGTTATGTGTCCTTACTGAATGCAAATGGCACCAAACGGCGTTGGAGATCCTCACCGCATCTTCCTGTTTGTTTGGAAACGCTGTTGCCTATTAGATAGATAGAAACCTTTATTTACACAGGGTTATCCAGTCAGATATACAAAATGCAATCTGATATCAAAAGGAGCCCTAAAGATGAAGATGAAGATGATCAACCTTTCATTACAATCGGGAGTTTTTGCAGAGTCTGGGAAGTGTGCTCTTGTTCGTCCTTTGCTAAAGAAGTCTAGAATGGACCCTAAGATCTTGAAGAACTTCCGCCCTATAAGCAATCTTCAATTTGTGTCAAAACTAACAGAGAAGGTAGTTGCTAAGCAAATTTCTGACCACATGACGTAAATTTCACTCGACAGAAACTTCACTGGAACTTAGTGCCGCTTTCGACACCGTTGACCACTCTACACTTCTTGAGAAGCTTGAAACGGTGATTGGCATTCATGGAACTGCCCTCTCTTGGTTCGCGGCACTTTCTCTCAGACGTTTTCCTTACTGTATGGTGTACCAAAGGGATCATGTCTTGGTCCCCTCCTCTTCTTAATCTACACGAGTTAGCTGTTTGAGATTCTTAATTCGCATCTGCCATCTGGCTGATGCTGATGCTGATGCTGATGCTGATGACACCCAGATCTACCTGTCATTCAGTCCCAGTGTAAGCACCAGTCAAGCTGATGCTCTTTCAGCGGTAGATAACTGCATTTATTTCTCAATTGACACGGTTTTCTTTGTTATTCACAAGGCTTTTTTTTTAACTCTTTCTCAAGACATAATTTATTTCAAGATGCCTGTAAACCTCCTCTATAACATTTTTGATCGCTTATTATCAGTAATTTTAAGTAATTTGTTATTATTTGAATGTTTTTTTAGAGAAAGAAATTTCAAAGCGCATTTGGCGCAATGGGAGTGTAATCGCTGTAATCTGTTATATCAAACAGGTTTCTTGCTTTCGCTCTTTTCTTAGGAAATGTTTTGGAGGATATTTATGTCAAGGAAGAGTTTCAGTTACGAAACAAGCAATCTAGTGGAGTTATTTTAGCTTCGTTGTAAAGTAGCGAACGGACTCCTGGCGTTGTGTGACAATAAACAAATCGAAAGCTATGAGAAAGGAAGGCTTATTTTTATCCCCGCTCTTGCTCGAAGAGTAAAAGTTTGACTCGTAAGATTTTTTTGGTGAGTGATAGTTGATATTTATAAATAACTATGAAAAACTCGACTAGATTTCTTCTTTGTAACTAAAACTTTTTATTTGTCAGAAAAGTTCTTCATTGAACGCAAGATTCTATTAGTCGCTCGAAGGTTTAGATTTCTCGAAGCGACATCTGACCAG